GGCCTCCAACCTAATGGTGATGGCCTCCAACCTACTAGCGATGGCCTCTAACCTAATAGCGATGGCCTCCAACCTAATAGCCATGGCCTCCAGCCTACTAGGGATGGCTTTTCCTTGCAAGAAGGCCCCTCCCTGGCACTGGTGGCGGGAGAGGGGCTGAGTGTCCGGGTCTGAAAACGGCTAAAGTGAGAAACGAGAAGACGAAGACAAGGAGGAGCGCCAGGGGGACAACAGTCACGAAGTTTCAAGGGTGGATCGCATCCGACGGGCAATCCGTGAACCCTCCTTCAGTTTCTTTTGCAACTTGTTCCATGAGCCAGCAGGGGCCTGCCATTGAAGCGAATCAGACATCTCCTGATGTGACAAGACAAGAGGAGGCCACCAGTTGTAGGCACACGTTCGAAAATGTTTCTGAAATGCCATCTGGACAATCGTAGCCACTTGATCCTGGTTCGGGAAGGCCGGGCGAGGAACAAGACCGAAGACACAGCTTCCTGCGCCCTGCCGATATAATGCACAAATGCGAGCACGTTTGGCATGAGCAGGTAAGACCTCATGGCCGCTCAATGAGGCAAACTGACTAAACATGGAGGAGAACTGTGAGGCAACCTCATTCCAGGAATAGTTAAAGGCATGTGCCTCAGCATCAGAGCGAGCCCAAGCAAAACAGTGCCCATCTGGCAAAACCTTCCTATGCACAGGAAGATAGCACTGAGTATATAGCATGAAGCTAAGAACTAATTCCATCCAAGAAACACCAATATTGACAGGAGTCGGGGGGCCGAGAGACAGAGGCCATCGAATCTGGCCCGCCCAATCAAGTATGCAGTGCATCAAAGAGGAACTCCAATAGGAGTGATCAAAGCAATTATCAACCTGGATTGCTGCCACATCAAGCTGCCAGGCTTCGTCGACAGTCCAATTGGAACACTGAGAAGAGAAATGTGCAGCTTGTCTCATCGGATGCGGTTCCATGGGATTCAAAGAGGCAGGTACATGTTGGTCATGGAGCTTACGATGGCTCTGCAAGGCTAAGGAAAGGCGATAGAATTGCTCAAGAACATCCATCTCCTGCTTACGTTGCAAGGCAAGCAGGTGCCACTCATCGGTAAGAGTGGGATGACAAGAAGTGCAAACTTCAGCTGCCGCACGATCTGCAATCATATTACCAAGGGCATGGTAACAAAGCAGATCAGGAAGATCTTGAGGTTTGGTGTGAGCCTTAATCTTAACAAGCCTATTAGTCTCAACATGGTTGAGTTGTTGGATCTGACAACACAGCTCCGGGTGAGGGTGACGGTGTAAATGCACACCATGGACAGTCCGGGCTGCCTCAAAGGTGGCAATGGCACTGGAGGAATCCACATGAATAACAGCATTACTGAAGTATTCACTAGCCCTAACCACCGCACGAAGTTCGGCATGGTGAATGTTCTGAGCCTGCGGGCAAAGTTCCTGAACAATCACATGCAAGGTGGGAGGTGGCACACCCAGCTCTTTGAAGCGTTGTGCATGCCAGCTCCGCTCAGCATCACTGTGACATGAGTCAACCACTATACTGAAACCCGCATATCTCAACGAAGGAATGGTCGGGTGGAGACAACTACCATCCGTATACACATGTAATGGGGATAGTGGTGACACACACTCTTGCAGAGCAGCAAGCGCAGAAGGCTCAGGTGATCTTGGCTTGATGGCATATTGAAATGTGAAGCGAAATTCATCCTCCACAGATTCAAAAATGACCGGCAGTTCAGGCAACAAGGTGTCATCTGAGGTAATCTCCTGAATCAAGGCCTGAAAAGGCGAACGGACATGCTGCGTTGCGGCACATTCAAAGAACCTATGAAATTTGGTATCTACCTGACCACACCACGGACAATCAGGGGTCACTTGTTCATCCCAAATAGCTTGTTGGCTCCTGGTTTGAAAGGCTCCAGCAATTTCACGAACCAAGAGACGTCGCTCAGCTACGGTGAATCGAGAAAGGACCTGTCTCGTGAGGTGCTGATCAACATTAGGAAAATTAATCAAAGACCTACGATGGGAGTGCATCACCAGAAGTTTGTCTTGCCACGCCCTTTCAGCAAACCAGACCAGGCTGTTCCAAGGACAGTACAGAAAGCAAAGCTTGACAAAGCTCGAAACTTGAATGTACCCTTGCGAATCAATGGACCATCCTAATCGAACTAAATAAGTCTTAAGCGTAGAGGCCGGACCCTTAGAAGTGTTAGGCCTAGGCAGGTATTGCGAGGCAAGTTTAAAGAATCTCTGATGCTGAAAGCAATCCCGAGCTAACAAAAACCTCCGTGCGGCTGCACAAGCCGAAAGAATCATATGAAGCTCTGGATCTTTGACATACTTAGATGCACACAGGGTGACAAGCGCAGAGGCCATGCTCTCCGAAGGCCCAACAAGAGCCTCAGCCACATGGTGACGGAGGGACCGAGTGTGCTGTTGACCAACTGGAAACAATTCACTTCCATGAAAAGCAACCGGATAGACACTGGCCGAAATTACTTGTGCTTTGACATCGATGTCGACGTGGGAGACCTTCAGACGGGTGAGTCTCTCCTTGGCTTTGCTCAGTCGATCATGAAGCTTACACATGCGAGCAGCCCCCTGGTAGCGCAAGGGACACCCTAAATCACTGGCAGCTTGGACCTTGGCGACCTCAGGTAACCGAAGATGGTCAAAGGCTTGACGGACCACACCCGCAAGGTGGGAATGTGACGTCCACCACCATGTTTTGGTCCAGTCAATCTGGAGCCCTATAATCTTTGTCCAACGTACTGTGACATCAAGGAGAGGCTCAATGTCCAGGACATCCTTCACTGCTCAAGCCCAGTTGTCAGCATAGGCGGAGATCAAAGCACTATCAGTGGTGCGAGTACGGCAGGCAGCCGTCCAGCATTGAGCAACACCCAACATGACAAGCACTGAGAAAACATCTCCCTCCGGGAAACCGCAAGTGCTGCTGATCGGATCGGAGCACTGACCAAGGACTTCCCAACGCCTCGAAAGCTTAGCTAACGAGCCCGACCATTGGGCCAGGATGGGTTCTGGCACCCCAAGATGGCGGAGAATGTCCACTCCACGAGATCTATTAATAGCGTTAAAGCATTTCACAAGATCAAGAGTGATGCCCGCGCAGGGCTCGCCAGCTGCATGGGCCTCTTCGAAAAAGTACTGGGTGGCATAAGCAGCCTCGAATGCACCTCTTCCTGGTAGTAGCCCAGTGATATCACATGTCATGAACTTCCCAAAAGCTGACAAGAGTTGGCGACAGACCACCTGAGCCCAGACACGGTAAAGCTGGGACAAGACAGTAATGGGTCGAATCTTATCAGGGACCGGAGTACCATGAGTCTTTGGAGCGGCGAAGACTTTAGCTTCCATGAACCAAGAGGGAAAGCCATCCGGATAGCTATGCACTACTTGGGTCAACATGGAAATGAGGGAGTCCGGCAAAGTTTGAAGCTCAAAGGCAGTGATGCCATCGGGACCTGGAGCGGCATTCCACTTCAAAGCACGAATGACTTGCTTCCAAACCTCCAAGTTCTTTGAGTCGACCTGCAAGCTCTGGCAGGGCAGCAGATTCAAGAATTGCTGGAAGGCGACATCCAATGCGGGAGAATGAAGATGCGCATCGTCCCGCTGCCAAATAGGCTCCCAGAATTGGGTCAAGTGATGGCAAATTTGCTGAGGATTGGTGACGAGAATATTCTGCCGCACTTGAACATTCTCAAGATCAACCAACTCCGCCGGACATGACACAATTATAGATTGTTCACGAATGTCATGGATCCAAGCCAAGTGGTTATCCAAGCACAAGTTACGACCCTGTTGGAATGCAGAGGGCTCAGGAACAAAGGCTTCATATCTAGCATGGCTTTTGGAATGGACCCTAGTGCTCAATGGGACCAAAATAGCATCTTGCTCACAAGTTTGCTCAACTGATTCAAGCTTGGGCGTGGAGCCTCGAACAGAAGCGAAAGTGAGCTTATTATGCCCCTGTTTCTTATCCAGCTGGAGACGAAACTTCTGCTTATCTTGGAAAATTTGACTATCAACATTCATGGCCCTTTGGACTTCATGACGCCAAAGCTGGTCAAGATCATTCAACCATTCCATGGTGGGTAAGTTCCAAGGGACCGGGTACAACTCAGGTTGGGATTGGAGCCAGGCCACAAAGGACTGAGCCTGATATCGAAACCGAAGAATGCACCGCCATTCCAAGAGAAGGGCATGATGCAATGCCTCCTTGCTGAGTTTACGTCTCAAAGATTGTATTCTCCTCAGTTGCTTAATCATACCTGCCGTGACTACCCGATGAATCTCTTG